ATTCTTTGACACTTCACCCTATAATAATGAAAATATCATTTTGATTTCTAACCTCATAAATTTATTGAAAAAGATGAACACCAATAATAATCTCAAAAGGAATAACTACATGAAAAAAGTAAAATATATTCAGTTAAATTAAAGGTTAATGTTTTATTCCTTAATAGATAAAATTTGAAAATTATCTTGCAACTCACAAATTAATTAAAAAGAACAAAATCATGTTTTATGTCAAAATCAAGGCTAAAGATCTCTCAAATCATGGAGAAAGGCAAATAAAGGCACTACTGATGTTACTCTACGCTGAGATTGCTTCTACAAACTCTGTTTAGTATGAAAAGATGATAGATAGCTTTATTGATCAGATAAGATGCATGTTCCATCTAGTGAAATATATTTAATGTTTGTATTATATGAGTCAATGGTTACCTTCCATCACAATTAAAGGCAAGCGAAATAAACTTAAACTTGTGAATTGGACTCAAAATATAAGAAGATTCGAAATTTAAGAAAGAAGAAACACATTTTGTGAATCATACTTATGTACAAACTTCATTCTTTTTTGTAAAAACATATTGCTTTATATTAGTTATATATCGTCTAAGTGAGACGAAAATAACATCTCTACAACCTTCATAACCATTGTTATAAGGTTAAACTTAGAGAGGTTTATTTGTAAAATAATATTTGATTTAGCCTGAAGAGGCTTGTTGAAAATTTCTAAGGTTCGTTCTCGACCTCGAATTTGTGTAAAGCGTGTTGGGGTTCGTATGAGTATGAATCTCGTATATGTAATGCACGTACCTTGGTGTGATTTAGGGTTGCTTTGGGCCTTGGGCCTGAGATAAGATATGATAAGATTAGATAGTGGACCTCGTCCGAAGTGAGATCCCTCGAGATCAGTTATGATCTGCTTAAATGCCGAGCTGACGTCGCGTAGCATGTGCCCGACCTCATCTTGTGCTGTGATGCCGAGCTCGGAGCTCGGCTTCGCAGTACGGACAATACAATATTAGTTCGTCTCAATCACTAAAACTACGTCCAATTCTCAACTCAATCAAATTGAGTTCTAATATCTTTCAACAAAGATACAAGTATTATTTCAACAAGTCACTTTTAACTCAACCCTAAGTATTATTTGACTTGCCCCTTCGAACAATTACTCAAATATTCTTTTCATAACAAGTCTCTTTAGACTTAACGACTAAGTATTTTTTTTTTCAACAAGCCTCTTCAGGCTAAATCAAATATTATTTTACAAATAAACCTCTCTAAGTTTAACCTTATAACAATGGTTATGAAGGTTGTAGAGATGTTATTTTCGTCTCACTTAGACGATATATAACTAATATAAAGCAATATGTTTTTACAAAAAAGAATGAAGTTTGTACATAAGTATGATTCACAAAATGTGTTTCTTCTTTCTTAAATTTCGAATCTTCTTATATTTTGAGTCCAATTCACAAGTTTAAGTTTATTTCGCTTGCCTTTAATTGTGATGGAAGGTAACCATTGACTCATATAATACAAACATTAAATATATTTCACTAGATGGAACATGCATCTTATCTGATCAATAAAGCTATCTATCATCTTTTCATACTAAACAGAGTTTGTAGAAGCAATCTATATATATATATATATTTAAAATAAATTTATAAATAATTAAACTCTTAATAATTATAAACAAATATAATAATAATAATAATTTTTATGTATTATTTCCAGATAAAATTATTTATAAAAAATTCAATAATAGTAATAAATAAATATAATAATGATAACAAAAATAATGTGTATTTATTTCTTTGGAATAAAATTATCTGAAAATTTTGAACTTCTAATAATAATAATTTATTATTTATTATTTACAAATAAAATAATTAATAAAAAATAAACTTCTACCTTATTTCTCATATATTTTTCCTTTACTAAACAACATTAATTTCTATCCTATTTCCTTATACTTTTTCACATTTGTCTACTCTGCTTTTCTCTTCTTTTCCTTTCACCTTTTTCCTTTTATCAAATAAAGGCTAAAAATTAATTTATATGATAGAAAATTAAAGGAAGATTAAAAGTTGAAAAAGGCATTAAAAAGACTAAAAATTAAATTATTAAAAAATTAAGATTAAAAATTTATTTAATCCTAATTTTTTTCAAAAAGGAAAAAAAATGTTTACCAATAATCCTATGCTATGCATGAGTTGTATAAATATGTTATAATGCAAATATATAGTAAATACATTTTATTTTATATTTTATAATAAATAACTTATATTATAATATAAATTATTTTTTAAGTGTGGATATTTTAAAATAAAATCAAATTTAAATTAAAAATAAAGATAAAAATGAGAAATTAAATAAAACAATAGTTTATGAATAACTTTTAAAAATATTTTTAATCAAGATAAATATTATAATTTATAAAAAAAATGTTTTAGTTCTTACAATATATTTTTTTAAAATTAATTTTGTAATATTTAATTTTTACGCTATAGTTTTTAAGATTATCTAGTCATCATTAATTATTGAGGTGGCTAATAGTAAATTATTGTTTTTATTTTAGTCCTTCACTCACTTTAGCTTCTTTTTTTTTTTTTTCATTTTCCCTTTCACTTTATGGTAGTCATGATAATATCTAGAGTTTTCTCTTACATATCACATATATCTAATTTCATCTCATAACTTCATGCATCAACACTAAAACCTACCTAAAGTTTATTGTGGATAGAAAATCCTCACACTAATGTTATTCTCTATTATACATTATCCACATTTGTTTGTTTATGTCCACACTCCACACTATGGAGCCATTGTAGATTCACAACCATCAATCATTGTTATAAAGTTGTCTTACCCGGTGGTTACCCCACTCTAATGGCCTTCATTATGTTCCAAACAACTTTCGAGACCATCGACATGCAATTGAAATAGAGTTATCGTCTTTGTTTACTTTATGACCGTTAAAAATAATAGAGCAAAGAGAAAGAAGTATTGATTGAATACTCTATATTATTGAAAATGAATTATATTATGTGTTTACAATAGGAGGGCAACTATATAGAGGTTGTTGCTAAAACATACATGACACTCCTTTAGATTAGTGTATTAAAGAAGTTTTATAAAAAAAAAGTAATAGTTTAACAAAATAATAATTAAAAAATAATATAATATATTAAGCTTAGCATAACAGTTTGTGTATCCTACTGTAATAATGTTAAACCAATATACTAACATATTATAACAATGACAATTACCTTTGCATAACAACTAAAACCTTTATCATAAAATATATTTATCTCTCAGTCTTTTTTATTTTTTTTAAGATAAAAAAAATTACAAAAATAATTATAGATTCTCGTGTTTTTATTATTCTCTTTCCTCTCCTTCCTTAAAGCTTTGTTTGGATTTGAGGATGGAAAAGGAGGGATTTGAAGGGAAAGTGAGTAGAAAGTGAGGTTGTTTGGATTAAGGGAAAATGAGTGGAAAGTGTAGAGAAAATTTGTGAAAGTTTGTGAGTGAATTGATTGATGTGATAGATAAAAATAAATTTTTAATTGATAATTATGTAAGATTACTATTTTGCCCTTTAGTTAAAAAAAGGTTTTTAATTATTATAACTAAAAGATAAATATATAAATTTTAACTAAAAAAATTATAAAATATTAATTTAAAAATAATTAAATTTTAATATTTGCTTTAAATTTAATGATAGATAAAAATTAAAAATTTAATAGATGAATATATAATTTACACTTTTACCGTTGGATTAAAAATGAGTATAATATTATTTATTGTAAATAATAATAATTACAATAAAATTATATTAATAGGTATAATTTATTAAAAAAATAATAAATAATGATAAGAATAATAATAAATATTAGAAAAATGATAAGAATCATAATAAATAATAATGATACTAATTATAATAAATAATAATAATATTAATAAAAATGAAAATAATAATATTTATAATAATAAATAATAATAACAAAATATATTATGATAATTATATTTTGTAAAACAAAATTTGATACCCAGAACGGCCGTTCTCAGACCAGAACGGGCCGTTCTGGGGTTACAAATTAACCCACAACGTCCATCTATGAAACGGCTCGTTCCCAAGGTGGAACGACCCGTTCTGAGTTTGCATTTTGCACATAAAATTCATTTTTGGAACGAGCCGTTCTGGGTTCCACGGGAAGCGAAAATACCCCAGCATAATCGATTATACTTGGCCACATAATCGATTATACTTGGCCACATAATCGATTATGCAAGGTCATAATGGATTATGTGGCCAACCATAATCGAACCATAATCGATTATGGCATTGCATAATCGATTATGCTCACCCATAATCGATTATGGCCCAGCATAATCGATTATGGCCCAGCATAATCGATTATGGCCCAGCATAATCGATTATGGCCCAGCATAATCGATTATGCTCACCCATAATCGATTATGTTTCCTTCGTAGAATCGATTATGCATGCATGGGACAGGGGCATTTCTGGGTTTTCACAAATCTTATGTGGCTTTCTTCTCCTTTTTTCGCTTTTGTGCGAGGACGCGAACCACGTTTCTCCCCCCTTTTCTTCGTCTTTCCGTCGTCGCAAATCACCAGAAACAAACAACAATTTTCTTCGTCTTTCCTTGCTCGTGAACAGTAAATTCCTAGAAACAAACACTACCTAATAGTCATTTGTCTCCTTTAGTATAGTACCTCAATAGGAATTTTTTACTGTATTAATATTTTTTAAAAAAAATTATCAAAATAGAACTCTGGACACAATATTTACCCAATTATCACTGATTACTGTTTAAGGTCAAAATTTAGTTATCTGAAAACTGAATTCTGACCTTTCATGGGTTGCCGGAATTTGGTTTCCGGATAACCGAATCCTGGGCAGCCATTTTTTTTTAATTATTTATTTTTATTTTTCTGTTTCTCTCCCACCCCAAACCCACCACCACCACCACCACCACCTTCTCCTACCGCCACGCTCACCACTCTCTCAACCACCCTGCCCACACTCTCCCCAAGCCCCGCTCTCCCATCCTCCTGCACTTCCCCGCCGCTGCAGTTCACGTCGTCCCTCGCGCCGTTGGTGGCCTTTGCGTAGAAGTTGTAGTTGTCGTAGCGCAGGAAGCAGCCGTCCAGGTAGATGCGCACCACCACCGAGGGGAGGCACCGTGACAGCTTTGTCCAGCTGGCCAAGTAGCAGAGTAGATAGACAAGAATGGCTACCAAGTATTCGATTTCCCGGAAATTGAATTTCGACAACCCACGATGGCCAAGGCACACACAAGGAAGGTAATCATTGCTAGTTGGGTAAATAATGTACACAAAATTCTATTTTGGTATTGTTTTTAAAAATATTATTACAGTAAATCTTGTATATCATATCATTCACATTTGCTTGAAGAAATTTGCGAATTACTAAATTTGGGCGTTGATGAGGAAGGTGATGAGATTGAGTTGGACATGAGTCATGTTGAGTTTAAGTATCTTTTAAGTTGAAGTTTTAATGATAACAAATTGTCAATAAATAAATTTAAATGTTGTAATTTTATAGTACAAATGATTGTTTTGAAAATATGTTTAAAGAATATTAAAGTTCTTATATGAAGAACACATCACTTAGAGTATCAATTAAGTTTGAGAAACATCTTTCCAATGTATGCAATTATGGTCCTATTTAAGTGCAAGTTATAAATATTTTTTTAGATTTTCTATATTAAAAACAAATAATATTTTTACTTAAAAAACTATAAAAATACTTTTAAATTTATATCTAAACAAACATACAAAAGCAAATGTTTCAATAACACCATGATGCAAAATCAAAAGTTACATATAATAAAAAAAATTGTCAAATGAAGAAATTTATGTAATAAAAGATCAAATTATAATAATATCAAAAGTGATCAAAAGTTTGATTGAGCTTCTAACAACGAACAACTAGTTCAAATTTGTGATTCTTATACTTTATTAATTAACCACTCACTTATTAAACTATATTAATTTTTTTTTTGTAATTTTTAAGAAATTCCAACTAGTAATTAAAAATATGTTAGAAAGAATATATTATACAATTAACTACTAATATTCTTCTCACTAATATTACGTGATAATAAAGTGAAATTTTATTAAATAATGATATAAAAATATTTTTCAGGTAAAGTAAAGTCATCTATTATTCTGCTGGAAACAATTATTTTTTTATAACTGAATTAAATTTAAAATAATAATTACTTTAATCCTTGAAATTTAAAAATTCAGTTATATAAGTCTCGAATCGAATTTTTTTTAAGAGAATACAATTCACAATCATATTAATTTAAAAAAAATTAAAAAAAATTGCGACTAAAATGATAATAATATTATATATTCAACATAAAAAAAATAATAATATGCAATTAAATTTAGAATTTAATTTAACAATCTAGAAATTCATGTGGTTGAGAGGGTCAGGCTCTTGCTGTGGCAGTGCATAACGGACTCGTTTTTCTCGTTGGGGTTAAAGTTAAAGTCACAGTTAAAACTGGGAAACACCAAAAGCATGCAAGCCTCATCGATCTGTGTAGCCAAGTTTCCGATTCGCGTAAGATCGCAACACCGAACAGAGAAAAAGGACTCCATAGCCATGGCCGATTCCACCCTCCCCAAGTGGGCCCAGAAAACCGTTTCTTTGCCTCCTCTCAGGCGCGGCTGTCACCTCGTCACTTCCAAGGTTCCTTTTCCTCTTCTTCCCCAATTTCACTCTTCCTTCTCCAAACCCTAACCTAACGCTTCGCTTGTTTTTCAGATAGTCAAAGAAATTGAACAAGACCTCTCCGGATTCAAGTGCGGCCTTGCTCATCTTTTCTGTCAGTATACGCTGTTCTCTACTATGTATTATGCACTTGCTTCGTACATGATTTGTTTTCTGTTCTCTGAACTTGGAATTTGTCGTCAAACGACAGTGCAGCACACCAGTGCTTCGCTCACCATCAATGAGAATTACGACACTGATGTCCGCGATGATACCGAAACCTTCCTCAATCGGATTGTTCCCGAGGTTTCTTTCTGTCACCGAAATTCATGCATTTGTTACTGTTTGTCTTTTATGTCAATTTTTCATGTGTTTATGTCTCCTGCAGGGGTCATCTGCTCCATGGAAGCATACTCTAGAGGGTTAGTGCTTGCTACATAGTAATTTTTTTTAAAAATTGCTAATATATTATTATGGTTTTATTAGTTTTTCAATGGGGTGGAGCTGGTCTATACAACAACAACAACAACAACCAAGCCTTTATCCCACTAGGTGGGGTCGGCTATATGGATCAAACGACGCCATAGGGATCTATCATAAATCATCTCTCTTGATAAGGCATTGATCTCCATGTCCTTTAGCACTGTTTCCCCTATAGTTTTCCGAGGCCTTCCTCTCCTTCTAGCTCCAACAGTAGCCTCCATCTCATCGACCCTCCTCACCGGTGCGTCAGCCGGTCTCCTCCACACATGCCCAAACCATCTAAGACGGGACTCAACCAACTTCTCCACAATAAGTGCAACCCCCACACTTTCTCGGATGCATTCATTTCTAATCCGATCTTTTATCGTGTGTCCGCACATCCACCGTAACATCCTCATCTCGGCTACATGAAGTTTATTCTCGTGTTTCCCCTTTGCGGCCCAACACTCGGTCCCATATAATATAGCCGGCCTAACAGCAGTACGGTAGAACTTTCCTTTAAGCTTAAGAGGCACCTTTTTATCACATAGCACCCCGGACGCCCTCCTCCATTTCATCCAACCCGCTTGGATCCTATGATGCACATCGCCTTCCAACTCTGCATCTTGCTGAACAATAGATCCCAAATACTTAAACCTTGGGACTTTTGTTATTGCTTGCTCTCCAATCTTCACCTCCTGAGTTGCCCTTGTGTTCCGCATGCTAAACTTACACTCCATATATTCCGTCTTACTTCGGCTTATCCGCAAGCCATGTTCTTCCAGGGCTTGTCTCCATCTTTCGATCTTCTCATTTATCTCTTCCCTAGAGTCTCCCGTAAGAACAATATCATCGGCAAAAAGCATGCATCGGGGCACTGGCTCTTGGACATGCTCAGTAAGCGCGTCCATAACCAGTGTAAAAAGGTAAGGACTTAAAGTAGACCCCTGATGAAGTCCTATGGTAATAGGAAAATCCTCAGACACCCCACTCTGTGTTCTCACGCTAGTCTTGGCCCCTTCATACATGTCTTTAATCGCCCTGATATAAGCAATACGCACCCCTTTCTTCTCTAGTGCCTCCCACAATACTTGTCGAGGTACTCTATCATAGGCCTTCTCCAGGTCTACGAACACCATGTGTAAATCCTTTTGTTGTGTCCGATATTGCTCCATCAATCGTCGTAGTAAATATATTGCCTCCATAGTCGATCTCCCTGGCATAAAACCAAATTGGTTCTCCGTAACTTGTGTCTCTTGTCTTAACCTTCGCTCAATCACCCTCTCCCAAAGTTTCATAGTATGGCTCATAAGCTTAATCCCTCTATAGTTTGCACAATCTTGAATATCCCCCTTGTTCTTATAAATAGGGATTAAGGTACTCCTACGCCATTCTTCCGGCATCTTGTTTGATCTCATGATCTCATTAAACAACTTGGTGAGCCAACTTATGCCCTTCGCTCCTAAGGTTTTCCAAACCTCGATCGGGATAGTATCCGGTCCCACAGCCTTCCCATTTTCCAACCTTTTCAACGCCTCCCTTACCTCAACCTCTCTAATTCGACGGCAGTAGGTATAGTTTAGGCCCTCTTCCCGGCGGTCTACCCTATAAGATTGCAAACGGTCCTGACTCTCATTAAAAAGCGAGTGAAAGTAACTCCTCCATCTTTCCTTGATATCCATATCCGACACCAGTACTCTTCCCTCTCCATCCTTAATGCACTTCACCTGTTCTAGGTCTCTTGTCCTCCTATCCCTACTTTTAGCAAGCCTATAGATGTTCTGTTCCCCTTCCTTTGTGCCTAACGAAGTGTATAATCCATCATATGCTCTAGCCCTTGCCTCGCTTACCGCTTTCTTAGCCTCACGCTTAGCCGCCTTATAATTTTCCCAACTCTCTGCGTTCCTACCTGTGGACCAAATTTTGTAGCAAGTCCTTTTTTGAGTCGTTTTTCTACTTTATATATTCACCAGAAAGCCTCTGTGATTAGAAGAATTTTGTGGTCCATTCTTATCCTCTCAACTCAACATGTTCCTTTTAGCTGCTAGATTCTAATCGAAGATTATGTGCTATAAAATATTTTCCTACTTGTATTTGTCATAACATGGGTTTGTTTAGATAAACTACTTCCTGAGCACTTGGAGGAAAAAAATAAAAAAATAAATTTCTCTATAAGATAAACTTAACCTAAAATAAGTTAAAAAAAACATATTTTTGAGAAGCAAATACAAGGGGACTTTTACAAATTAGTTTGTACATGATTATTTGGATACAAGCTTAGAAATGCATTTGAGAGCTTATCTACCGAAAAATACTCTTTATTTCTTGTAGAGAAATTCTAAAAAATGCTTATAGCTTGTATTCAAACAGGCTCATAAACTAATTTTAGCTTTTGGAGAATAATATTTCAGTTTTTCTTTTTATTTTCTTTTACTAGAAATGTTTTGGAGGAGTTTATCCAAACAGACCCATAAATTGGTTATTACCTATCATGTGTAATGCTGCTGTTAGTTTTCTGTGTATAATATTATCATTTTTTTCTTGATGTATTATATTTTGCATCAGTGAGAGGTGGCAATCTTATTTGGATTTGAAATTTTGCAGGGCCAGATGACATGCCGGCTCATATTAAATCGTCAATGTTTGGTTGTGCACTCACGTGAGAAATGCTTCCATCTTTGAGTTTGATAAGTTATTCTGAAGAGTTATGATTATGTTATCATCTGCTGACATCTTGTTTTTTAGGGTACCAATTACAAATGGGAAGCTTAATATGGGGACGTGGCAGGTAATCTAATTTATTTTGTAATGATCTATCCAAAATTATCTTCTTTTTTCTTTTATATTTCTACTGGTTTTACACATGCACGCTCACACGTATATGTAGAGGAAAACTCCTTTAAAGTGGGGAGTTAAAGTGTACTTAGATAACCAATTATTTTTTCACAGCACTTTTGGAATTTTTTTTAACCCATCGATGAGCAAACCATGGCTGACCTATTTTTATTAGAATCATGGCACTGAATGAAAAGCCAATGGCTACCTAAGTTTATCTTATGCATGTGCACATTCAAGGAGTTGAAACAATGCTTTCATTGTGGATGGTGTTTCAAAAGTTGTTGCCTCTAGTAATTCACTAGTGATGCCATATCCAGTGGGAGTGAGATATTTTTCGTAATGATTGATACACGATACACTAATTGTGATTAGGAAAAACCTTGGATTATTTCACAAATAAATTTGAAACCTCACAATACTGTCCTTCAGGATTGGTAGTTCTCACACACTTTGAAGTTTCTCAATCTACATTATGCCTGAACTTGAGATGTTCATGTATAAAACCATGGTTTTTATCAATAAAATTCCATAAGGACAAAGTTATAGATTTTGTCTGTGAGCAACTGATAAGACATGGCATTGGTTATCACATGTAATGCAAGAACATGTGAAATACTGATTTTCTTTGGGATTGATTGTGAACAATAAAGTAATGACAATTGTATTTTAATTTGCTTATGAACATCTATGCTCTGATTCTGAAGGTTTTGAGGAAGTGTAGCATGAAACTTCACATATTGTGTACTGGGAATTTCCTCAATAAAATTAATCTTTGTTAATTGAAAAACACAATTTTAGTATGGTAGCGTTAAGTATTCATCTTTGATTTTGGGTTACAATATTTTATGATAAGATCTGTGATAATGGAGTTTGGTTGACATGAATAACTATTTAATTAAACTTGCATTTACTACGAGATTGTGTTATATTTTGAAAAGACACCTCAGGTTGGATTAATATAACATCCAAATTAACAATATATTTCTTGTTCTATGTCTAAGGGTATATGGCTGTGCGAGCATAGGGATCATCCAACCTCACGAAGAGTTGTTGTCACTCTTAATGGGATATGAGGTGCTTGGATCTGTTTGCTTTACGATCAAGACAAACTCACTTTGTAACTTTGTAGCAGGATGTGTGCTATAGATTTACCTCTTTTTCCGATGTAATGTGAGTACCTTGATATGGATGTAACAGCGAATAGCATTATGACCATTTAATGCATATAAGCATTTCAAATATTTTTATTAGGACAAATTACACTAACACTTAGTAAGATTTAACTTACTAGCTTTTAGCTGCACACGACACCCTTCCCATTTTTAACCTTATACAAATTTTCACATAATATTCATTCCTATTTTTATAAGAAAATATCGAGAGTAATTTTTTTTTTGTCTGTCTTAATTATAAAATGCACTCATTTTGTGATATATTGATTACTAAATTTCTTGTCTTTATTTTATTACGAAGTTTATGTTCAGTTTTAATAGGACCCTTCACCTATTTTTCATGCAAGTGGGTATTTCTTGTCTTTATTTTATTACGAAGTTTATGTTCGGTTTTAATAGGACCCTTCACCTATTTTTCATGCAAGTGGATGTATTCAACATTGAATTACTAGCTATTGGGCAAGTTTTTATGAATTGGAATTTGGAGGGATTAGTTAGTGTCACTAAGAACGTAATTCACCACTTAAGTTATACAAGGATATGGGTATATTAGGAATAAAATTTTCAAGTTTTTGATATATTTTTAATAAAACATAACTAATTTTTTAATTTTGTTATTGTTCCAAATGAGTTAATTATTTGCAATTTTTTTAATATAAAAAGGATTGGAGAAACTATCATATTCCTTCCATTATTAAAATTTTCCTCCGACTGCCTTGTATTGTTATATGAAGTGAAACGAGGGAGGTTAGTATAATGGTGAAAGAGAGAGTAATTATTCCGAATAATTACTATTCGTGCGTCTTTCATATAAAGGTCTGGGAAACTACCAAAAATTACAAAGGTCTGGGAATTGAGATGTTTCATATAGTAGTTTAATATGTATATTTGTGATACCAATTACGAGATTTAATGGCACCTAACTATCACCTTTTGAGAAGCATGTTCAATAGCTTATAGAGAAACCACAGCAGTGGAGGGGTAGGTTGAAAGATCCAATTTTGGGGCATGCAGGAAGGACAAGAAAATACCAAAGTCAAAAGAAAAAAAAATGTTACATGTAAAATAGTTAAATTTTCTCAAATTTGCCTTGTATAAATGATGCTTGTTGGCTTGATTGAACTAAATGTAAAGATGTACCAAGGCAAGGGCCCCCCATGCATAAAGCTCAACCCCATCAACATTGGATTTGAAACCAACCCTTCTAGTATATCTAGTACCCCACACATGCGTCATATTGTATCTGTATATTCATCACAACATACACATGAGATTCTAAAAGTTATGATCTTCATATGATATGTATTGTATCTTCAGAAAATACATTATGAAAACAGTTTTTTTTTTTGTAAAATCTTTGAAAAAAAAATAAAAGAAGCAAACCAATAGGTGGAAAATGGTACTTCATGGAACTTTCAAAAAGTGAAGTAGTGCAATTAGAGTGGAAGTATAAATAGGAGGATAAGGATGCAAATAAAGGAAGTGAGAAGATAAAAGAGAGGAGGAAACCTTGTGGATGGTCAGGAGGGGGTAATGTAAATACTGAGGGTAGTTTAAGTATTATTAAAAATATAAAATAAAACTTAAACTAGATGGGTGTGAAGAGAAAAAGGAATGGCCTGAAAAGCAGCTCCTAACAATTTCTTACCACAAAGCATATATTTTTTTGCTGACCCCACCGTAATTATCCCTTTGGGCCCACTAGACACACTTGGTATTGGCCTCGTTAGGCATGATATTCTAATCCGACCTATGGGTACCTGTCCGAACTCATCCTAATTTGAATGGGAAAAACTTGTGTTGGCTAAGTTTGGGTTTGAGTTTTTCTTGATTGACAAAATCGAGGACGGGAATGAGGATGTTAAAACCCGTCCCGTCCCCACCCCTCTATCCGCCCTTGTCCCCATCCTACTTAATAATATAATTACAAAACTATCCTTATATATATATATATATATAAACAAAAAAGAATGTAAAAATTTGTATTATTTTACTATTTTTTTATTTTTTAAATTTATTAGAAACAAGAAAAAAAGGTCTAGCAGTTGGGGCGAGGAAACCCGAACCCGTCGAAGGCGGGAATGGGTATCTAAATTTTATACCCAACGGGTATCGACAGTGGAGGTAGGGACAGTTTAAATCTACGAGGACGATGAACATAAAACCCGCTTCATTGCCATGCCTAGGCATCATTGCCCTATTGGATAGGCTATGTGACTACTCCACACTCGAGATTTTTTCGATGCTTTGGGCTTTCTCTCTCCCAATAAGAAATTTTTACTGAACTAAGGTAGGGTCAAACCTAGGACCTTGGAGCATATAACTAACTCATTAGCCCTCATCTTCCATAGATAATTTTACATTGCACTTAAGGAGTAACAATGAACTAAACCAACTTGAAAATAATTCGAAACTTCATCCAATAATTAACTCGTTGAACTTGATTTATAAACCAAATCAATTAAATTTGAGCTAATGAGTGAATTCAATAAATAAATGAGTCAAATTTGAATTATGTATAGTTCAATTTATTTAGTTTATGAATCAACTCGACATATAAATGTATAATTTATATAATTAATTTTTTTAATTATATTTTAGCTTATTAAAAATTAAAAGAACTTTCAAAATATAGTTATAAGTTATTAAATAATAATAGAAATAAACACTTTAGAATGTTATAATTACGAATTGAATTTTTCTTTTATCATTTTATGCAAGATGAAGTAATTTTTATGTATATAGAATTTGGTTGTAATTATGTTTATTTGGAGATCTTATAACTTTACAAAACTAATACAATAAGTTATGTTTTATTTTAAAAAAATCATTTCATCTAAAATTTATTATAAATTAAAATCCTAAAATGTATAAAATTAAAAAAAAAATGACTTTCGATTCATATGATTCAAATTAACGAGTTAAACCGAATTATTAACTAGTTTAAATAAGTCGAGTTTAAATTTAAAAATATATTCATATTAAATTAATATTGAGCCAAATATTATCAAATCAAATTAAATTAAATCGAATTCAACTCAACTTCACTCATTTCTAAATCTAACCTCACTCAACAATAATGTTTTCTTAAATTAGTTAACATATCAATAACCTCAACAAGTTAATTTAGGTGACAAATTACACATCTGTATTTCATTTGAATAGATGAAGATAGATAAATTATTACAAAATGAAATGAGATCTTAATCTATTTTATTATTTGCACTTCTTAAATTAACATTTAAAGCGACTTTATATCTTTCAAGGACTAATTTAATTATTTTAACATAATTTTTTCACAAAATTGTTCAAAGATAAATTTCTCACATAACTTTTTTGCTTCAATTTATTTTCTGAATTTTTAATACTAAATTAGGCCAACTAGCTCGAGGGAGGAAAAATAAAATAAGTATTACAAACTAGTATTGAGAACAAATTGTCATGTGCAAATGTAACCAACATTTTTCATGCAGAGAAAATATGCAAAATTAAATATATACATAAAATAGAGGGATTAAGGCACTTCGTGCCTCTAATAGTTACATATAGATAAATATTAAAAGTTACGGATAGATATTCAGAATAAATATATGAAAAAAAAATTTAGATTTTAAGGGGTATAATGATCCACTAAAAAGTGGATACCAAAGGAGTGGTTACCAAAAGATATCCCCCTTATAATAGGTATAGATATTATTGTTATGAATAAAATAAACATACTTTTGATCTTATAATATTCTTATTTAGGATTGTAGTCTCTAATTTTTTCCCCACTTATAATTTCTATAAAATTTATTTCTATAGTTTAGTATTTAATATATTTTTAATCCTTATAAAATCAAAAAATATTGACATATATTTCTCTTATATTGGAAAATATTAATTCTAATCCTATGATTTAAGAAAAATAAGTTTGTTCTCCAATATATTGTTACATCATCAAACAAATAGAGACTAAAATGGTAAAAAGTAACTTCATAGGGACCAAAATTGACAATTTTATTATAACTAAAACAATAAAATAGATACCATAAACATATTTAAGCCTAATAAAATTCATCAAACAATTTGTTACAACTTCAAGAAAGATATGATTTCCCAAATTATCAATTTCATACTTCGAAGGCAAAGAGGGAAAATTATTACCCCACTGAATTTGAAGCTCACGAGAAATAAAATATATTCAAGACACACGAACGAAAGGAGGAGAAATCAAGCAATTCTTAACTTCCCTAATTTAACATGATCAACATGATTAAGGGTACCAAAAAGCTCTTGGCAATTGGAAAAGCTATCAATGCTTGCAATCTTCTTCTTCACAGAATTTGGAGTATTTTTCTGAATCCATCAGGTTGTTTAGTTCTCCATTGTCACTCATCTCAACTTTAATTATCCATCCATTTTCATAAGGGCTTGAGTTGACCTGTATGAAGAAACGTAGGACAACGTGAAAAAGAAAACATTGAATAGGCATGGTGATCCAAAGTTTGGATTATGATGTACAAAGGTAGTACAGAAAGGAGAAAAAATAGTTGAAGTGCACATACACTCAGCATTCAGATCTTGGCTTTCATGTAAAATATTCTTTAAGAATTAGGCAATAATACTCACCAAAGCAGGGGCACTATGAAGTTCTTCATTAACTTCAACTACTTTTCCTGAAACAGGAGAGTTAATATCACTAGTCGCCTTCACACTCTCAACTGCACCAAAACTATCCCCTTGTGTTACGGTAGCTCCCACTTCGGGCAATTCAACATACACAACATCACCCAGATGATCTTGGGCATGATCAGTTATGCCAACAGTTGCAGAATTTCCATTAACTTTCACCCACTCATGAGAATCGGCGTACTTCAGATCTTTCAAAACTGTAGGCATAACAAATGGTAGGCATATTTGTCACAAAAAAAAAAAAACCATTAATTGACCTTCTTGCGAATTCACGCAACAAATAACTTAATTAATTTGGCACTTTTTTAAAAAATCAAAATAGGAGCTTTTTTCTGGGTAAATACAACATAAGAATCTGATCAGCTAAGTTATTGAAAGAAGAAACCAACTGGTACACTTGTACTGGCAGGGACAGAAAGAGAAAATATAGATCAACAAAGTAATAGTAGTAGAATAATCAACCATTCAATAAAGTAGATCCAAAAATTCTCCAACAAAATTCCATATACATTACACACCAAAACTGACAGAAGCTTTTTTCTCTGAAGCAATGTGAAGTTTCACTATTGAAAACTGGAATTCACGTTTTCAATGAGCATAAATAATGAAAAATTCTCTACTCAAACAGTTCAGGGAAGCATATAGAGATGATGGTACGATTTTTATCAAAGTAAAAACATATCATTAGAAATCAAATGTTGTTTTTTGGAAAGTGGAAATTGTATCAAACCAATGTAAGAGATAAGTTTAGATCATACCCATTATTATTAAAATAAAAAAAAGTGCAGAATGTGAAATGAGTAGAACCTGAGATCTCTATTGGGATAGGAAGAAGCAATTCAGATATGAGTTGGGGGCATGATTGACATATAAAGTTAATAACATTGAAATACTTTATCACTTTATACCCTAATCAGAGTAGTTGTTTCAGCCACAAGAACCTGTGACGATTTCGTTACAACACAACTTAGAAGGTAACTACCTTATCATTGTGTCAAAGCTCACTCTGTAACAACTATGTCACAACTTAGAAGGTAACCTTATCATTGTGCCAAAGGTCACTCTATAGGGGGGTGTCAATGCGATTGATGTACTAATAACACGGATGGCACAAAGTCTACGATATTATAACTTGCTGAATTACATATTAAAAGAATAGTATAAACGAGTTTTAAATGAATTAGAACACAAGTTATGGATTTTCTTATTCTTTTTTTTTTTTTTGTCGAGAGGATACGAACTTTATTGCAAACAAAAAGCCCAGCATGCATACAATGACACAATCTAACTGTACCATCTTTCACACTAACTTTATCCAATTATTTCAGCAAACTGTACTCTTGACACAAGAAAGAATCATTTGCAGTTTATCAAGTATCCAATAAATTCTTCAATAGACTTGGACTACACAAGTATCCAACATAAATGTTGAGGACAGTTTATATAATGAGTAGTAAATTAGTAATGATGTGCCAATGTTTTATTAACTTCATCAGCACATTGTGTAGACTCTGCAAAGCAAGTCTGTAGACATATTTCTTGTTTTTTTTTCTTTTATAATTTATCCTTCTTTCTTTGCTTTACATGATCAATGTTCAGAAAAGTAAAACCCTTCCTCCCTTATGCATTGTTCATTACTTTCAGAATACAGCCATTAAAAGATGGAAATATGAATTTTTGGAAATATGACATTGCTGCTGATCCCAAGATTCACTACCTAAAAGCTCCATATCTGATTGGACTTGAAAGATTAGGAAGTTATCGAGTGAGTCATAAATTAGCTCTGGAATTTGTTAGGTTGTTATAGTAGAAGGGCATGGACTTAGCCTAAATAGGAGGGTTAGAAAGGGAAGGTCATTTAGATCTGTCAAGTGTTACCATTTATAATTGAGTATTTGCACTGTTGAGATTTGAGAAAGGTAAAAATCCTCGGAGAAAAATTCTCTCCTTCAATTTGTTGTCATTGTACTCAATATTTTGTTTCGAGGATTCCTAATACTTTCCTTCTCATTAAATTGACCATGAAAATTTACAAAGATGACTATGTATGGATATCTAATGATGGGTGGAACAGAATAGTGTGAGATGGAATGAATGAAATTCTCTCACCATTGTATGAGTATTTTATAATGGAATCGAGAAAAGTTTTCAAATTCCAACTATTGTTTGGAAAGTGAACCGGAGGATTAAAAAAAAATAGCAATTTTTATCTCAAATCGGAGAATAAAAAAGAAAACAAATAAATGCATTGGATGGAATAAATTCGATCACATTCCATCCTAATTTAAACAGTGCAAACAAAGTAAAGTAACGTTATTTCATTTCTTCTCAGGATTTCATGAACTCTAACATAACCTGGGAGATCACAAGCCACAACTGAAGCCACACTATATGCGATCACCATGCAATGCATTATACATCCAATCCAGAAGAAGAAACGAGTCGAAACGTAAAATGATACGTTTAAGGGCACAGATCAAGATCCAGGCACGCATATGATCAATAAAACACATGATAGAGAGAAGAAAAAGGAGATTAATTTACCACTCGAGAAGCTTCTGTGAAACACAGAGATCCTGAGGTAGGACGCAGCTCTTGAAGCCCATAACTGCCTGCAAGCCATCTCTCTCTCTCTCTAAAACACTGCTTCTTCCAAAAAGATACACTTCTTTCTATTTCTCAAAAGACACACTTCAACACTCTGCTTGTAGGGTTGGTGAAACTATTGCTTTTAAAAATATTAAAAGGATTCGTTCCAAAAAATAAAAAAAAAATATTAAAAGAAGGTTAAAAACTTCTTTTCGTCCCCTACATTATTTAATATTTTTAATTTAGTCCCACTTTAATTTTTGGTCTCTAATAACTTAAATTAGTACAATTTGGAACTTCCGTCCAAATAATTTAGACGGAGTTAACTGTTGGCCACGTGGCATCTACGTGGATGCCACGTGGATGCGCACGTGGACGCTAAAATTCTTGAAAAAATCTGAAACCAGAACGGACCGTTCTGAATTCAGAATGGTGCGTTCTAAAAGCAGAACGGCCCGTTCTGAACCAGAACGGGTCGTACTAATAGTAGAACGGGCTCGTTCTGAAACCAAAACGGGTCGTTCTCAAACTAGAATGGGACGTTCTGATTTTAGAACGGGCCGTGCTGCTTTTAGAACGGGCCGTTCTGAATTCAGAACGGCCCGTTCCAGAACGCCATGCTTTTTATTATATATATTTTTTATTATATCTATATTAATAAATATATAATAAATAAAAAATACAATAAATTAATATTCATTTATGAATAAAACTAAAAAAAAAATAAGATAAGACCTAAAATATTTATTTGATTTGAATTTATCCAGTTCAAAATCTTGACTACAATGTCGCAATGTATTTAAAAAATTGAAAATAAAATTCAGGGTTTAGGGGTACCTCCTCAAAAACAGGTTGTTATTGTTGGGGTACATCGTCAATGACTTTAAGGAAAAACACTGTTTCGTTTTATCTTTGACTGTATAGTGTCAATTTGGTAGAAGTAGTTCACTCCAGTTTGACTAACAATGAAATAAAACTTGTTATCATTGTCCTTAGTGATACACTGCATCATCCTTAATGATATACTGTATAGCCCAAATGTTTAGCGATTGAAGTTATTAATCCTCATTAACAATATTATTAAATCTAGTGTTTGAAATGCTTTGTATTTTCCCTGAAAAAAAAATGCTTTGTACTTTGTTTTTTTTTACGAAATTCTGAACCAGAACGACCCATTCTGGTTACACTGTTGATGTGTTAATTTTGGACCTGGAACGGCCCGTTCCAGGTGCAAATTTTACACATCAATAATGTAACCAGAATGGGCCGTTCTGGTTCCAGGTGTATTCAAGTATTTTTGGATCCACCTACGTGGCATCCACCTGGCATCCACGTGGCCACCAGTTAACTCCGTTTAAATCATTTGGACGGAAGTCCCAAATTGCAACGATTTTAATTATTGGAGACTAAATTGAAACCAAAAATTAAAGTGAGACTAAATTGAAAATATTAAATATTGTAAGTGACGAAAAGAGGTTTTTAACCTTAAAAGAATGTGTATAATTAATGGGCTTTTAATTTTATTTGCATTATTGTAAGTAATAAATAATTATATTTATGAGTACTTTTCCTAAGATAATTCTACCATTATTTGGTTAGGAAAAATAGTTCAACCTGTCATAAAAAACAATAGTAATTAACAAAGTGAATACTATTTTTTTTATATCAAAATTATGATGACACTACTAAAATTTAAATTTCGAATTTTGAATATACTATTTCAACTTCCACAATAGAATAATTATAGGATTTAATGATTAATGTTTGATGATTAATTCAATTTTTAAAATATAAACGAGATATAAAATGTGTACATAAATTTTTTTTATCATCTTTATTATTTTTATACATTATAGATAAACAGTACACCATTTTAATTAAATTATAAGAAAATAAAAGGTTTAATTGTAGTTTTGATCACTCAAGTATTGTAATTGTGCAATTTTGATCCCTAAAGTTTTAATTGGGTAATTTTAGTCTCTAAAGAATTGTAATTGTGCAATTTTAGTCCTTCAATTTTTAATTGAACAATTTTAGTCCCTCAAATATCATAATTGTGCGATTTTAGTCTCTCACATTAAAAATTTAATAATTTTAATATATATATTGTTCCGGCCAAAGGGTGGACTAGAGTTTTTTCCTAGATCGTGCCTTAGAGCCAAAGCATTCAAAAAGTGTAATCTCCCCTGCCTAGACTTAGGGTTTTAGGTTTTATACTTCGTCGCCCATGGGCCTCATGGGCCCCGAGAACGTAGGGATTTCCTCAACCGTTCTTGCTAAGTGTCCATGCAATGCGTGAGGATTAATCTAGTCGGTCTTTAACTGACTAGGCCTGTGCCCTGGGTCCACTCGGGTAAACGTCGAGTGGCTCCTTATAAGCGAGTGGATCCGAGTTAGGGCCGAGTCGGCTTGCACACCAAGGATCTAGTCGGGTACGCGCCGAGTGATCCCCTTATAAGCGAGTGGATCCGAGTTAGGGCCAAGTCGGCTTGTACACCAAGGATCTAGTCGGGTATGCGCCGAGTGACCCTCTTATAAGCGAGTGGAGTCGATGTAGGAGTAAATCGGCTCGCATAGAGATGTTAACTCGGTTGTAGGCCAAGTGGTTCTCAGTCAAGACGAGGGTCAAGTCGGATTCTGACCGGGACAGTACACTAGCCTTCCAGCCCTGAGCCGATAAGGCGAGAGGGCTTGTGGCCTGGTAACTTAGTCGGGTCTTAACCGAGCATAGGTCAATTGGGTTTTAACCTGGACGGTACACTAGCCTTCCAGCCCTAAGCCGATAAGGCGAGAGGGCTTGTGGCCCTTCGAATGATATCGGGAGATGGCCGAGTCCTTCTTCGGATGAGAACTGTTACGGTATGCATGTCGTCCTGGGAAGTGAGGATCTCTCGGGTCTTGGCAAGACGTGTCTTTTCCCCTGGTCCAGGAAGGGACACGCATTTATTGCAAGGACGGCGTTGCAGGGGTGTAATTAATGATGGAGCCACGTGGCGGCGCCCGGTACCAGGGTTAATGAAGTGGGGCCCCCTTGGGTTATGGGTTGCAGCGCCCCACGCGCGTTGTGGCTTTTGGGTTTTCCCCCCTCATGCACGGCCCTTCGCCTCTATAAATAAAGGTGGCCACCCATTTTTTCAAGTTATTTTCTTTTCCCTCTTCGCGTGTCTTCTTCTCCGGCGATCTCTTTCTTCTCCGTTCTGGGTCTACGGCGGTCTACGGTGGTTGTCCCTGTTTTTAGTGGGTGAAGTGGTGTGAGAGACCCTTAGGTACGTGTATTTATTCTGCTATTGTAGTGGTTTTCTTGCAAACCTTTGGGTTGTAGGTTAGTCTAAGCTTATATTTGCCATGGCTGTCATGAGTTATGGGGAGTTATATAGATGGGTTAAAGATGATGAATTAAAATGTGAGTCTATGATAAATTCTTGGGAGGCTATGGATAGCTTTTGTAGGGACCATGTGGTTTGTCGTGATGGGGACGACATGGTTATTTGTGAACCTTGCGTTGACAAAGAACCGGTGTGTATTAGTTCACCTTCAACGGAAAAGTTTACGTTTTGTTATACGACCCTCATTTCCCAAATTAGGGTGAGATGGCCCCTTACTGACTGTGAAAAGGGGGTACTCCAGGCCTTGGGTGTTGCCCCGACCCAATATTGCACCCCAATAGTTGGGCCTTCGTACGTGGTTTTGAGGTGTTGTGTGCTGGGCTCGGTATTACCCCGACTGTAGATAAGTTCTTTTACTTCTTTGAGAGTAGGATTAGTAGGCGCACTAGCTGGGTGTCCATTAGCGGGGTTTCAGGTCGGGGAGTGTTATCATTATTCCAGTCGTCCTATAAGGATTTTAAAAAATCGTTTTTCTGAGTTCGTAGCATGTCGGGTCATGAAAATGTGTTAGAGGGGTTCCCTTTGTACTGGAATCAGAGGGCGATAGCATTTGGTGGTCTAGATTCCGAGAGGCTTCGCGAGAGTGATCGGGGTGATGTTAAGAAAATTGAAGAGTTGAGAACCCTATTCAATACTGGGAAACTCCTAGATTTAGAGAGTAGGCCCCAAGAGTTGAGAATATACATAGGTATATCGTTGTTTTGAATGTTGCGAATTTCCTTTTCTGTTTAGCCGTATGCTTCTATCATAACTTGTTCATGTATTTCTTGCAGAGAGAATGGCGAGTATGAGCAACCGGGAAATGATGAAACTCTGGAAACAACAAAAGGTTTCCCAAGCTGCTGTGGTGGGTGAGTCGGCTACCGAGAAGGTTGTGGAGAGCGGTAGTCCAGTGGTGAAGTCGAGAACCATTGGCGAGACCCCGCAGAAGTGCCGTCGTGAGACCGAATTTCACAACATTCCAATACTTTCTACTTAGATTTGACAGAAATCTACTAATAGTACCAATAACATGTGCTATATCTGGTTTTGTGCACACCATTACATACAACAAACTACCCACTACAGATGCATAAGGAACCCATTGCATGTCTAATTTTTCAACTTCATTTAATGGACTCTGTTTACAACTCAACTTAAAATGAGTAGCAAAAGGAGTGCTCACCACCTTAGCCTTTCCATCTAGAATCTCAGCAACATTATTTTAATATAGTGTTCCTATGAGAGCCAAAACTTCTTCTCCTTTCTGTCACACATGATTCTTATGCCAAGAATCTTTTTAGTAGCTCTCATGTCCTTCATGGAAAATGACTTGCTCAATTGCCTCTTCAACCTGTCAATTTTAGAAACATTTTTCCCAACAATAAGCATGTCATCAACTTAAAACAAACATCTAGAGCATGCTTAACTCCTTTAAGCAACAATTGCATCCCCATGTTAGTTTGCAAGAAAACGTCACCAACACCAATCACCTTGAACACGCCATCATTACCCATCTTCAATACTCCAAATTACCAAGAGTATAAGATGTGAAGAACTCCTTCTTAGCTGTAACATGTAGAGTGGCACCATTATCTATTATCTACATGCTCTTATTAGATACAAGATTAATTGCATCAAGATTATTGAGAAGAACAATATCATCACTAGAAATAGTAGTAACACAATCACTATCATCATGATATCTCTCTCTTTGCTTACCCTTCTTGTCTTTATTCTCCTTCTTCCATATAAAACAATTCCTCTGTATATGCTTGGTAAGTGCCAAAATTTAATGAATATTAT